TTCAATCTCAGTGGTTTATTTGGCGTTATTATCTCTGTTGGATCGGTCTTCGCTAGCTTGAGTTTCACAATGTCCTGAGCAAGTACACCAAACATCTGGTAATGCTAGCTGATGATGTATTTTGCTGTTGTCCAACGTGAACTAGCAACCATTAGCCCCTTTTACACTGCCAGATTTTCGGTTAATGTTGGGCCGTTTTGCCGGCAAGCTGCAAGCATTTAGACACACAGAGCCGGATTGGCGAGTTGATCCGAGGTGCCCAATTTTCCGCCGCGTAGGGGTAAACATATTGGTGGAACCTTTTTGGTTTGAAAAGAATGAGGCGGCCTTCCACCACAGGAGGAGCTGTTGATGACGCCGCATGTGCGACCCACTGGTGGTAGACTAAAAGGAACCAGCTGATAGCAGGAATGAGCAGCTAGTAGCAAGAGGGAAACACAAACCTGACAGACACTGTAAAGATGAGCAACTGGGGAGACAAGGAATTGCGCGCCCGCCTTGTCCTCGCAAACGAAGAGGCCATTAACTGTCAGATGACGGGGACGGTGAAGGACGGGTCGACTTACGAGAGAATCGCCAAAGGACTGACCAGCCGCGGCTTCCCTCCCACGTCACTGTTTACGTCACACGCTGAGCTACACGTTTTGTTACTTGCTCACGCCCCCCATTGCCCCGAAAAAGGCACATTCTGTATAAACAAAAGTAGGTAGGCGGCATTTTGCTGCACTCCCCGATTTTGTTTTTATACTGCCAATGCTGAAAAAGACTGATTGGGCTTTCCTGCAAATTTGCACAATTCCTATTTAAAAAGGGCTAGTATCTTACTTTACCACCCGAACTAGCCTTTGTGTTGAGTCCATATATGTTGTCATGTAAACAAGACCCAGCACTAAACAAGATCAGCGCAACAAAGACAACAGATCCGTCATAGCCTGAACCTGTCCTTAACCCCAGCATAACCCTTCAGGTCCTGTCAAGCTTGAGTATCCACACTTAAGTGTACAAATATCTACCAGTTCAAAGAGCCGTACACGTCATGTCTTTAACCGCCTGGAAAATGCAACATGAGGCGCCGGGCAATACTCTTGTACCTACACTGTGCCAACTTTTAAGGGCACAGAAACAGGTTGGGTCCAAGGTTTCTCAGCGACCTTAGCCTACTTACCTGAGTGCAGAGCTGATCTTCCAGGTGCTGTTGCATAAGTGTGTACTATGCCAAAATTATCAACCATGGGACAGTTAAAAGCTCAGGGTAGCCCTGCACGAAAGTGATTCCTCCACATTTACCACAGAACATCTACAAGAGGAAGATAACTTCATTGTTATTACCACTGATGGGCATATAGCAGCAGGCCCATGACTACCTCTGACTGGTGGACATTAAATAATAGCATTTGACAAACCACCCCCACCAGAGCTCCTCTCAACACTGGGCTGATATAACCTCCTATACACTACCCTGTGTCTCTGTTAATCCACTCTATCTGAGTTAGATCACTCAGCCTGACTGTCTTAAAGGCTCTGGGAGATATTAATATGTCTTAAACACACTCACCCAGAGGTTGGAGCCCTGGTGTATCTGACTTGTAATCAGATGTGGATCCACTTTGTACATGTAGTCTGTCTCTCTCAGGCCAGTCATGGTTGGGAGGAGCGGTGCTTTCATTGTATAAAATCTCTCTCCTCTTACATCATTTAAGATTCTTGCAACACTTAAAGGATGCTCATGAATTCTACATACCGTCCCTCTTACATTTCAAAGCGGCTGAGCATTTGGTCTTTCTCTATATTCTGCGGTAGGATGGTAGATTATATAAAGTGTGCTGCAGATGGATGAAATTGTCATTTGGTTTATCTGTGAGATTAGAATCATTGAGGAGACCCGCGCTGGCACTTTTCTCCCTGACAGTGCTCAGAAAGGCAGATTAGCATCTCATTAAAATGAATTGGTCCAAACATCTGTCATTTCCTCTATCTTTTCATTCCCACTGTCAGTTTGTTTTTTTGTTCCCAGACAGTTGCATAAGCATTCAGAGCTGTGTTTTGGAAGACTCTGACCCACTGGCTGTTTACATCTTCCTATACTGTCTCCATTTCACTGCTTAGCTCATGTCATACTGCTTTTGTATCGATGGCTCACCAAATAGGTAGTGTGTCTGAGATGACTCTGTATTCATAGTCAGTGTTAGATGAGAATATCTCCTAAAAATCTCCTAACTTTGTCTCTGATTTTGTGTACAATAAAAATGAATGCATATGTCACATCAACGTCAACATCACTCACAGCTGGGACAACGTCACATTGGCTGGTATTGTTTTTAATTTTGTGTGTGTTTGTTTCATCATTGCGAAATGTAGTCCTGGTGACACCAACTGTAGCAGTAAATACCACAGAAGCTGTTTGGAGTATTTTGCCAGGTGTATATATGTCTGTGTGTCTGTGGGCAGATTTTGTCAATGCAATAATGTGGCAACTATGACTGCGAGTTCGAAGCAAGTGGCCACAAGTTGGCAGTGATGGCCAAATGAAGCCTCATGAAGCATTTTCTTTATTTTCTGAGCCCACTAGATGGCGCTTTTTTTTCAACAAAATGTTGAAAGCACACTGAATTGCCATTCTTTGAGCCTCTCTCTTTAAACCATGAGCACCATCTAGTGGGCTCAGAAAATAAAGACAATGCTTCATGAGGCTTCATTTGGCCATCACTACAAGTAGGGGAGTAGGATGTAAGAAAGGGGCCATTGGTCCCCCGACGTTACCCCCCTGGCCCAGCTTTGTTTTAAGTTGCAGATGGCTGAATCACATCTGGAGTGACCCTATTGCAAGATGGTTTCTAGTTTTTATGTAGATATTACCAGAGTAAGGATGTGTATGTTGGCCAGTTTGTTGCCCTGTATGTCTGTTCAGCTGCATAATAAAGTATCTAATCGACCACTGACCAGATTGTGAAGATCGTACGTATGCATATTAGTTTCCTCAGAGCATAATTACTTAGGTGACCTTCTGATTTTTTTTCTTGCTCTAGTATCATATAGAATTTTCTGCTGATAGCATTTTGGTCCATGACAAAGTATTTTAAAAAGACTAACTCAAATCGCACACCTCTGTACTAAACACTTGATATTTTGAGTGCATAAATGCGTATGCAGTGCATAGTATGGGAAAATCCAGTGACTCAAAACGATCCAAAAGTTATTGTTGGCTGAGGACAACAAAGAGTCTGTCAGTTTTAGGCTATGTGTTTTTTGCACTAAGTACCAATAATGTTGTCGAAAAGAAGCAATGTTTGTTTGGTCTGTAATGATTTGGTACCACAAACAATAATGCGAGCGCTAACATTAGCTCTTAGCTACTGTAGCACAGTTTAATCAGCACTGATGTTGTGGCTTAAGTTTGGTTTAAATGTGGGTGGAGATAGCAGTCAAATGTTTGTGATCATGCTTGACTGTTCGCAATTCGCCATTTAAAAGGAAGACGTCACTGTTGTCACTATCATCACTTCCAGTGAATGCAAAACGGCAGTGCGTATTTTGAAACACTAGCCTGTTAAAATTGGTGCACCACGCACCACAAGTATGTAGTGTACATAGTGTACTACACTGAAGCGTACTAACGGAAGTATGCGATTTAGTATACAGCCATGCTAACAGCTCTGTGAGGCTGCACGAATAGACAGAGCGGTGCCTTGAGTGAAATGCTAACTCCAGCATGCTAACATGCTCACGATGTTAATGTCGTGTTGATGTTTGGGAGGTACAGTGTGTTCCGTGCTCACCATCTGACATTCTCATCAGGTTTCACTGTAGTTTGCGTTTAGTGCTAATTAGCAATTGTTAGCATGCTACCATCCCAAACAAAGGGGGTAAACACAGATTGTATCTGCTCAGCATTAGCATGTTTCCATTGTGATCATGTTAGCATGCTGATGTTAGCATTTAGCCATCATACAGCCATGCTAACGGCTTTAGACTCATCGTTGTGCTCCAGACTATTTTAGGAAGATAAATAATGAAATGCTTGTGAATGAGGTCCAATGTTAAAACAAAAAAACACATTCAAACATTCAAACACATTGATACTAAGTGAAAAACAGTGTTAGTGTCAGTAATCCCGTGACCTTTCCTTTAACATCTAAAGGACATTTATTCACATCTATATCCTGAGGATTTCTTACTTTAGTGACATGTGTATTTTATATATTTTTATATATGTGTATTTACAGAGGTTAATAACTCAGGGGGAAGAATCCAGAATGTTAGAAACTTAAACTCTGACTGTGCAATGTCCCTGTGACTTAAATTATTCATCGGGTAAACGCTTTCCCATCATTTCTGTTTTTCTGCCTGCTCATGTTTGACGGGGTTCAGTATTCAAGGTGCATCAAACAAAACGTTTCCACTGTATGGTGGAGCTGACGCATCACAGCCGTATTCACACTCTCCTCCACTTCCTCCTCTCTCCGTCAGCGCCCCTGTCTCTCCCTCATCCCCATGCTCCTCCTCTTCCTGGCTGTAGAATCAATGTCAGGAGAATGAAGATAAAGTATTGATCGCAGGACGCTGTCAGGCTGACTGAAAACGGAGCTTTACAGAAGGCTGTGTTGTCTCTACATAAACACAAAGGATTCAGACATAATATGATTTCAAACACATGTCTGACATCTTTGTGTGTTGAATCATGAAAACAGATTAAACATTGTCAATTTTCTACTCATAAATCAATCCTACATGTGTTCAAGATTTTTGGTATTAATTGCTGTTTGTTTTTGCTACTCAGTTGTGACTTGTATACAGTTATTTATGGCTTTTATTTTGTTATTTGGCTGCAGTGACCCACTTTTCTCATTGGCATCATTAAAGATTCATCCCACAGCAAAGGAAGAAAGACACTGGTGGAGAAGACAAGGGATAATTGAGTGTGTTCTCATGTTCTTTTCATGTGAGGACAGTTCTTAACTCTTGGTGTGTGTGTGTGTGTGTGTGTGTGTGTGTGTCCTCAGGTATTAAAGCCAGTGGTTAGTCCTGAAGTCAACCATGGACTGGGCAACAGGAGACTCATTAACTTTTCCCTGTCAGGTAGGATACCAACATCTGTCTTTTTCTTTCTATACATTCCTCTGTTGCTTGACCCCTACAGTCAATGCCTTTAGATCAATGCTGTCACACACTGTCCTCATCTGACTCTTCCTTTGACCTGCAGCTCTCTCGTTTCGGTGTTGTCTCTCTTAAAGCAGTAGTACGCTCAAATCGATGCCAGCCCAACTGATTAGCTGCAACATTTACTACTAAAATACTATGTCAGTACTGAAGATGAAGCAGGAAGTAATACCAAGGCCACCTTTTTGAGTCAGTAGATTCTAGTAGTCACTTTATTAACAATTGATTTTGTTCAGTCTATACCATTCATTGCAACAGTCCTTTACCTTTTACAGGGGTACTGTATGTCAGGTAATTCTGTCCACTTTTTAACGTCTGACACAGACAAGATTGAATTTTTGAACTCTCATTCCCATAATGCTTTGAGGTACATCAACAGGAAATATAATGTAGTATGTTGTCCATGAATTACACTGTGGATTACAACTTGAGCCCAGTTTTAAAACATAATATCGGCTGGCATGGAGGCATTGTGTTTTTGGGTTGTCCACTAATGATGGCCAAATGAAGCCTCATGAAGCATTTTCTTTATTTTCTGAGCCCACTAGATGGCGCTTTTTGTTCAACAAAAGGTTGAAAGCACACTGAATTGCCATTCTTTGAGCCTCTCTCTTTAAGCCATGAGCGCCATCTAGTGGGCTCAGAAAATAAAGAAAATGCTTCATGAGGCTTCATTTGGCCATCACTAATATACGCACTTTGCAAACAAGAGTAACATATATAACTACAGTTCTTTGAATTCTGGATGACTGCCAGACACAGTGCATCTGGATTTTCGACGTGTGTTAGATCCAGGAAAAACAAAGAACTTTCTGTTTTTTATGTCTTTATTGGGGGCGGGTAACAGATCGAAGTGAACATGATGTGGTGATGTACTAAAGGGGTGTGTACCAGGCAACATTTCTTGTTGTACAGCTGTGGTTCTCAAAGTATAATGCATGAGTCCCTAGGGTGAGGGCAGAAGGTCAGTGTGAAAGGAAAGACATAAGACAAAGATACTGTGTGAGATGAAAGGGACAGGTGCTTGCTCTAAAGACAATGGGAGTTGGGAGACCTTTTCCTCGAGACCTCTCTAACATAAAAGAGATTTTATGGTTAAGGTTAAGAAAAAAGTCGTGGTTTGTGTTAAAGTTAAGGGATTCGTGGAAATTTCTTCAATGTGAAAAATAAACATGAAAGTAGTAACTGTTGTTTGGCTGCTGATTTGCTGCTGTGACACACAACTGATGCAATTAATGTATCTGAGCTACTTCCTCTGTGCTCATAATTGATCAGATCTGAAACACAGGGGCACTGATGTGGAGGTTATCATTATCTACAATGTCCATCACAGCTATAAATCTGCTTAGAAATCACAGAAACAGACACTCCTCACAACTCCAGAACTTGTCTGAAAATCATCAGGTTTTTAAGTTTTCTTCTGTACCAAAGTCACCCAGTGACAGCTGTCTGTGCATCCATGGGAACACTGCAAACAGACACTGCTAGTAGCTAATTCAGCATATTTTTAATGCTGCCAGTGTGCCAAAATATAGCAAAAAGAGTTGAAGTCTTTCCCTCCCGGTGTCACCAGCTGGACCTTATATCGGAAACTCTGTACAGTAGATAACGGCAATAGTTTTTTGATCCCTTTTGAATTGTGCCATCAACTACACATACTGTGCTTGTAAATTGAAAAATAATCTTGCAAGCCAACATAGCTGCAGTTTCTCTCTCGCTGCAGCGATGATGCCTGTATGTTTCATATGTGGATAAAGCTACATGAGCAGCAGGTCCTGTTTGTTCATTTACTTCACAGCTTATAAAAAAAACACATTATGTAAGATGATGTTACATTTGTGTGTGGGATATAGCTAAAGTTACCTAGCTAGCTGGTGTTGGCGATGTATACTGGACAAGACGTGGGATGAAATTCACTATAAAGTTTCACACAAAAGTAAGTAGTACTACCACAAACTGCTACTTTCTTGACCTGCAAAATTATTATCCTTATTCTATATGGTTAAAAAACTGACTCTTGTTGTTGACCGCTGTACATACTTTCCTGAAATAAGGTCCCATGGTGGACGATGGAGGGGAAGGGGCTTAGCTTCACTTTAGGCCTAACTAGAATTATTGCCCCATGGTTGTATGTCTCTACACACCAGTTTACATCCATGTCTGTGAAAACATGGATGCTTCACACTCACTGTCCCCCCAACAGTACAGAAGATCTATACAATCAGAACAGTTTCAAGTTGGACACCCAAAATTAGTGTCACCAATTAAGCATCTAACCAAATATTTCCCCTCCTGTTCCTGAGATATGACGCTGAGTAACAGCCAGAGAAGTGGTTTATGCAGAACATTATGATGTCACAGTGAAGCTGACCTTTGACCTTTTGCATATATAATGTCATCACTTCATTATTTTATCCTGTTAGACACCTGTGCAAAGTTTTGTCGTAATTAGTATATGAATTCTTGAGTTATGGCAAAAACACTCACACTGACCTTTGACCACAAAATTCTAATCACCTTATTTTTCAGTCCAGGTGGACATTCATGTCAAATATAAAGAAATTCCCTGAAGGTATTGTTGAGATATCACGTTCACAAGAATGAGACAGATGAGGTCACATAAACTAAACCTTTGACCACCAAAATAATCAGTTCATCGTTCAGTCCAAGTGAAGGTTTGTGCCAAATTTGAAGAAATTCCCTCAAGCTGTTCTTGAGATATCGCATTCAAAAGAATGAGATGGATACAAGGTCACAGTGACCTTGACCTTTAACCACCAAAATAATCAGTTCATCGTTCAGCCCAAGTGACGGTTTGTGCCAAATTTGAAGAAATTCCCTCAAGCTGTTCTTGAGATATTGCATTCAAAAGAATGAGATGGATGTAAGGTGACAGTGACCTTGACCTTTGACCCTTGTCCACCAAAATAATCAGTTCATCGCTCAGTCCAAGTGAAGGTTTGTGCCAAATTTGAGGAAAATTCCCTTGAGGCATTCTTGAGATATCGTGTTCACGAGGATGGGACGGACGTACATGTGGACAGTAGTGATGGCCAAATGAAGCCTCATGAAGCATTTTCTTTATTTTCTGAGCCCACTAGATGGCGCTTTTTGTTCAACAAAAGGTTGAAAGCACACTGAATTGCCATTCTTTGAGCCTCTCTCTTTAAACCATGAGCGCCATCTAGTGGGCTCAGAAAATAAAGAAAATGCTTCATGAGGCTTCATTTGGCCATCACTACTGTCCACATGTACGTCCGTCCCATCCTCGTGAACACGATATCTCAAGAATGCCTCAAGGGAATTTTCCTCAAATTTGGCACAAACCTTCACTTGGACTGAGCGATGAACTGATTATTTTGGTGGACAAGGGTCAAAGGTCAAGGTCACTGTCACCTTACATCCATCTCATTCTTTTGAATGCAATATCTCAAGAACAGCTTGAGGGAATTTCTTCAAATTTGGCACAAACCGTCACTTGGGCTGAACGATGAACTGATTATTTTGGTGGTTAAAGGTCAAGGTCACTGTGACCTTGTATCCATCTCATTCTTTTGAATGCGATATCTCAAGAACAGCTTGAGGGAATTTCTTCAAATTTGGCACAAACCTTCACTTGGACTGAACGATGAACTGATTATTTTTGTGGTCAAAGGTTTAGTTTATGTGACCTCATCTGTCTCATTCTTGTGAACGTGATATCTCAACAATACCTTCAGGGAATTTCTTTATATTTGACATGAATGTCCACCTGGACTGAAAAATAATGTGATTAGAATTTTGTGTTCAAAGGTCAGTGTGAGTGTTTTTGCCATAACTCAAGAATTCATATACTAATTACAACAAAACTTTGCACAGGTGTCTAACAGGATAAAATAATGAAGTGATGACATTATATATCCAAAAGGTCAAAGGTCAGCTTCACTGTGACATCATAATGTTCTGCATAAACCACTTCTCTGGCTGTTACTCAGCGTCATATCTCAGGAACAGGAGGGCAAATATTTGGTTAGATGCTTAATTGGTGACGCTAATTGTGGGTGTCTGACTTTAAACTGTTCTGATTGTATAGATCTTCTATATTGGATAAGGATAATAATATTGCAGGTCAAGAAAGTAGCAGTTTGTGGTAGTATTACTTACTTTTGTGTGAAACTTTATAGTGAATTTCATTCCACGTCTTGTCCAGTATACATCGCCAACACCAGCTAGCTAGGTAACTTTAGCTATATCCCACACACAAATGTAACATCATCTTACATAATGTGTTTTTTTTATAAGCTGTGAAGTAAATGAACAAACAGGACCTGCTGCTCATGTAGCTTTATCCACATATGAAACATACAAGCATCATCGCTGCAGCGAGAGAGAAACTGCAGCTATGTTGGCTTGCAAGATTATTTTTCAATTTACAAGCACAGTATGTGTAGTTGATGGCACAATTCAAAAGGGATCAAAAAACTATTGCCGTTATCTACTGTACAGAGTTTCCGATATAAGGTCCAGCTGGTGACACCGGGAGGGAAAGACTTCAACTCTTTTTGCTATATTTTGGCACACTGGCAGCATTAAAAATATGCTGAATTAGCTACTAGCAGTGTCTGTTTGCAGTGTTCCCATGGATGCACAGACAGCTGTCACTGGGTGACTTTGGTACAGAAGAAAACTTAAAAACCTGATGATTTTCAGACAAGTTCTGGAGTTGTGAGGAGTGTCTGTTTTTGTGATTTCTAAGCAGATTTATAGCTGTGATGGACATTGTAGATAATGATAACCTCCACATCAGTGCCCCTGTGTTTCAGATCTGATCAATTATGAGCACAGAGGAAGTAGCTCAGATACATTAATTGCATCAGTTGTGTGTCACAGCAGCAAATCAGCAGCCAAACAACAGTTACTACTTTCATGTTTATTTTTCACATTGAAGAAATTTCCACGAATCCCTTAACTTTAACACAAACCACGACTTTTTTCTTAACCTTAACCATAAAATCTCTTTTATGTTAGAGAGGTCTCGAGGAAAAGGTCTCCCAACTCCCATTGTCTTTAGAGCAAGCACCTGTCCCTTTCATCTCACACAGTATCTTTGTCTTATGTCTTTCCTTTCACACTGACCTTCTGCCCTCACCCTAGGGACTCATGCATTATACTTTGAGAACCACAGCTGTACAACAAGAAATGTTGCCTGGTACACACCCCTTTAGTACATCACCACATCATGTTCACTTCGATCTGTTACCCGCCCCCAATAAAGACATAAAAAACAGAAAGTTCTTTGTTTTTCCTGGATCTAACACACGTCGAAAATCCAGATGCACTGTGTCTGGCAGTCATCCAGAATTCAAAGAACTGTAGTTATATATGTTACTCTTGTTTGCAAAGTGCGTATATTAGTGATGGCCAAATGAAGCCTCATGAAGCATTTTCTTTATTTTCTGAGCCCACTAGATGGCGCTCATGGCTTAAAGAGAGAGGCTCAAAGAATGGCAATTCAGTGTGCTTTCAACCTTTTGTTGAAGAAAAAGCGCCATCTTGTGGGCTCAGAAAATAAAGAAAATGCTTCAAGAGGCTTCATTTGGCCATCACTAGCGTATATGTCACTGACATTATTAGTTTTTGTATTTAATTATTTAATTTTGGCAAAACGGCATCGCCCATGTGAACAACAAGGACAGAACACGTAACTGCACTGTGAATACATGTGAGAAATCTTGTTTAAGACATCTACACTCTGCCAATAGTTTTCTCACAGACATAAGTAAGTTAAGAAGGTGTTCAGACCCAAAATAACCAGATATTTGAAAACACAGTTGGCCTTAAACATCAACAGAGGGATTAACTGTGACACCAAATTACTGCAGGGACCCTTGGGTGGGTTTTGAATTTAAATTTCTTGACCCTTATGGCATGAATAAAGATCTTCTTCTCTCTATTTGACTCTCCACTTTGTACCACTCTTGTAGCAGAAACGTTTGCTTGTCTCTTATCGTATACGCTTACATGACATATCACATTAGATTAGGTGAGAGGATCCCCCTCCGGCTGCCTTCACACCTCAAATTATGCACAAAACACTTGAAAGTCAGTTTAGATTCCAGACAACCAAGGACAAAACAACCTTGACACAGCTCGAGAAATACATTAAAGGATGTTACAACAGTTTCATCTACCCTTTACACACACTTCCAGCCCTCTGTCGGAAGATGTAATAAAAATATGAAGACATGAAACAACACTGCTCATTTGTGACAATCGCAGAGGGATGTTAATGGGCTTATTTGCAAACGTCTTGGCCACTGTGTAACACTCATCTGATCCATGCTGATAAATCCTATAGCGGCAAGTCACTAATGAAAGTCCTGCAATTTGTGAGCTGAATCAGAGTTTTCTATTATAACAGAGGACAGCCATTGTTTTGCCACTCCATAACCCTCTCCTTTGCTTCCCCGTCCACCTCTTTCAGACCTCCAGGCAGTTGGTTTGAAGAAGGGGATGTTCTTCAACCCTGACCCCTACCTGAAGCTTTCCATCCAGCCTGGAAAGCACAGCATCTTCCCCTCGCTGCCACACCACGGCCAGGAGAAGCGCTCCGGAGTGGTCTGCAACACAGTCAACCCACAGTGGAGCACCGAGGTACTTAAACACACACACAGCGGTACACACACGCATACACACAGGTTAATAGATTTCCACGCTATGTTTAGACCTTTAAATTGTTTAAAGTACATTATCTGTATTCATGCTGTTTCCTGTATTGTCCGTGTGCTCGGCTGTACCAGATGTGAATCCTCTGTGAAGCTTTACCACAAGTTTACAGTCTCCTGCTGTTATTGAGCAATTGTAGAACAGTTTCACTTTCTTCCAGGAGCAAAATGTAAGGTTAGGATTCAGTCTGGGTGACAAAAGATGGCAGAAACGTGTGCATGTGTTCTCTGGTCTGTAGATAAGGATCTTCTCTGACGCCAGACAGTACGGACTGTTAATTTTGACATCTGTTTGAGACTCTTGAGTATTGTTAGTTTTGTCTTTTCTGATTTTAATGGTTTATATCTTTAAAGCAGTCTGAGGTGTTTGATGTGTAAAGTTACCATGGTTACAGGTGTTGTTCTTATCTAACCCAAGGTCCTGTTTATACCAGCCTGTGATAGTTTACACACAGTGTCCATGTCTCTGTGCTCTGCACCAAAAAAACTGACTCTTCTCAGAGAATGTCTGATGAATTGGATAACATTTAGTGCAGTATATTTATTTAGCTAACATCTAGAGGAAGATTTAAATGATCAGCAGCCTACATTAAAGTATCATTAACGTTACAGCCACATCTACATCATTTAAGTACAGGCAGACTTATAGTTGTGTGTTAGCTCAACAGCCTACACCATTGTGAGAATCTATACAGTTCTTGTACAGTGGTGTGCCTGTGTCACTCTGCAGTTACACCTCCAAAACACTAGTTGGCAGTGGGGTCTCTGGGAAGTAGTGATGGCCAAATGAAGCCTCATGAAGCATTGTCTTTATTTTCTAAGCCCACTAGATGGCGCTCATGGTTTGAAGAGAGAGGCTCAAAGAATGGCAATTCAGTGTGCTTTCAACCTTTTGTTGAACAAAAAGCGCCATCTAGTGGGCTCAGAAAATAAAGAAAATGCTTCACGAGGCTTCATTTGGCCATCACTACTGGGAAGTGCTGTAAAGACACAAATCAGTTTCATTATAACTTGGCAACACAGACAAAACACTTGTCATTTGCTAGACATGATTTCCCAACATATACAACATGCTAACGTTATTAGCACAAGCTGATGGCATTTTACATTGTATAAATTAGCCTCGCAGGCTCTTGTCTTGTTTACTTATCCCAAGTCCTGCCCCCCTTAGTATTGCAGTGCGGCATTGTGTAATTGATAGTTTCTGGGCGTCAGACACTATAGCTTCAAAAAGTTGACAGCAACAACCACAGTATGTGAAGGAATGATATATTCACAATGATGTCGTGTATATCTATACAAATAATACCCACCAAAAGTTTCTTTGGGGCAGCACGTAGTCTTACAGAGATAATATGAACACACAAGGATCGCGCTAACGATAAAACACGTCATCTTGAAAATATGTCAGCAGCCAATCTATCTGTCATTCCCAACTTTAACATCACCCCAGAAATCAGGAGGAAGAAAACCTGGCTGACGTTAGTGATCTGACAGCAGGCTGAATCCTCTGCAAGCGAGGTAGCTAGTTAGTAAGCATTTAGCTAACATTAGCTAACTTAAGATGTGACTATATGCAATATAATGTGTCTGTGAAGATTGTGACAGTCCCCCAGTCACATCGTCAAAATCTGGTTTTCTTTTCAACATAAATTAACTTCGATAGCATGTTGAAGTATACCAGGAAAGAGAAAGTTGACCGAGGTTCTGCTTAGTACTGGTGTGTTTTGTGCATAGATTGAAAGCAAACAATGGTCCTTAACAACATCATTTTGTCCAGGTTATTTATCTCAATGTTGGATTGTTCTTTAAATTACTGATGGCCAAATGAAGCCTCATGAAGCATTGTCTTTATTTTCTGAGCCCACTAAATGGCGCTCATGGTTTAAAGAGAGAGTCTCAAAGAATGGCAATTCAGTGTGCTTTCAACCTTTTGTTGAACAAAAAGCACCATCTAGTGGGCTCATAGAATAAAGAAAATGCTTTATGAGGCTTCATTTGGCCATCACTACTTTAAATGACTTTTGAAGGAGAAGCAGTGTCCTAAAATTCACAAGTTCCTAATATAAACCCAGTCCACAGATGGCACAGCACAGAGAAGGGAGGACTGGCTGCTTCTTTGGTTCCAGCTGTAAGAGGATCAATGTAATCCATGAAAATCATGTTTGCTTTGTGGAAAACAACATCAGTCAATTGATTTTCTCATTTACGGACTTTTTCTAGGAAAACCACACGTTTCTGGAAAGTTCATGTGCCAATCATTCCAGTTTAGTCACATTAGCATAAAGGCTTTGTGTGATATCAACATTTCATACACTATACAAAGGAATTACTCAACAAATACATATTCTGCATCTCTACCTTCTATTATGTCCCTCAGCAGACTCCATACACTGATCTAATGTAGTGTCCTGTCCTGGCATGTCTTGGCAGCATCCACTCAAGCTCAGAGTCACTTTGCTCTTCCAAACAGCTCCCATGTTGAGCAGCTAGCTTGGCAGTAATGTACTGTGTACCTCTAATGGGTCTCTGTAGCATGCTAGCTCAGTCAGATTACTTCTCGTACTGCAGTCCAGTACTCTGCAGCTTTAAGAGACAATTCTGCATCATGACGGTATATAATAAGATAGAATGACAACATGTTATCAGCGCCAAATATAAACCATGAGAAGAACGGATCACTGCAAACTGCAAAGTGTTTCCCGTGGAATTGAGTCCTCTCAGCAGATATCTTCTATAAATAGTGGTGCTATGAAGCTTTTATTGAATAATTAATTGCAGGTTTGTGGTTACTTTCATTTGCCAGCATATTAGATCGATGTTGACCTTGATTAATGACATTTAATTTTGGTGTGCTGGATCTGATATAGTCTGATCGATTGTTCATTGATGATAATGACCAGCAGAGTTGTTCCTCTGTCGTCCAAAAGATGTTTAAAAAGAACAGAGGTAGTATTAATTTTAAATACTGCAATGCTGATATTGTCCCCAAGGGCCCCCTTATCATTGACTGCATGTCCCAAAGTTATGCCTGTGACAGTTAGTCGTGAGTTTTGTGTCAAGGAATCACTTTTCTGTGTGAGTGTTATTCAGGATGCTTCTTGGCCTCAGGCTACAAAACGCCTGCCTAACAGTCGTATTTGCAATTAGATTTTTCTGTGGATGTGGACATTCTGCAAATGTGTTGAACACGAAAAGCCTGCGGAGAGTTTTTGTTCAAATATAATGGAAATAATTTTAAAAAATTGAAGGAGACATGTAGTGCAAAATGCACTTTTTAATGGCTTTTCATTGTGGATATGTAAATATGTGTCCCCAGATATGACACTGTCCTCTCTCTTCTCTCCGGCTCCATCTGAGAACGTGTCCTTGTGATTTTTGATGGTAGAAATGCAGCTAAACACAGCTGAAGTCTGCTACAGTGGTTCAGTGTGGAGCGCCATCATTGCCACATCACCGCAACATTAAAGCATGTGAACACATTCTAATGGAAATGCTAATAAAATGGCGCTCTCTAACCACAAGCACATAACAGTGTACAAGCAACCACTATATTTTTGTAATAACTCATGAGGAGTACTACTCACTAGTGATGGCCAAATGAAGCCTCATGAAGCATTTTCTTTATTTTCTGAGCCCACTAGATGGCGCTCATGGTTTAAGGAGAGAGGCTCAAAGAATGGCAATTCAGTGTGCTTTAAACCTTTTGTTGGACAAAAAGCGCCATCTAGTGGGCTCAGAAAATAAAGAAAATGCTTCATGAGGCTTCATTTGGCCATCACTACTACTCACCCTGTAGCTCTAGAGGGGCTTTGTCAAGTCTGAGAAAATAGCCCTGATGATGCTGCAGTGATCATCATTGTTATCTCAGCTTGGACTTTGGAACTATGTAAAACATTTTGGTCAGTTGAGTTGATGAATGATTAGGTGCAACAGTATTTCCACTAGTGTCATCTTTGCCACCACGACAAACCATTTTTTTTTCTTTTAATCAACTTTTTCCCCACACTTTATCAGACAACAAAAGTTCAGATATCTTTAGAACTTATTAGTTCATTACAGTACATGTGAGAACATGCCGACCACTAGTGATGGCCAAATGAAACCTCATGAAGCATTGTCTTTATTTTATGAGTCCACTAGATGGCGCCTTTTTGTTCAACAAAAGGTTGAAAGCACACTGAATTGCCATACTTTGAGCCTCGCACTTTAAACCATGAGCGCCATCTAGTGGGCTCAGAAAATAAAGAAAATGCTTCATGAGGCTTCATTTGGCCATCACTACCAACCACACATACTGATAAAGGCAAATAAGTAAAGATAGGAAATAGAATAATACCAATTGTGTGCCTGGATGCCTTCAGATGCTTCAAAAACAGAAGGGGATCTACTAATTTCCATAATTGCTTATCCTGTTACAGGATTGATGGGGGGCTGGAGCCTGTCCCTGCTGTCATTGGGTGAAAGGCCGTCCGGGGTTCACCCTGGACAGGTCACCAGCAGGGGTGGGTGTTATGGCCCTTAAATAATATCACAATATTTCAGGGCATTTTTGGGATAATGATATTGTTGACAATATGACAAATTAGTAAAAATATATATATATTTTTTTATTAATTTAGGAAAACAGTATTGCAACAAAATAAGTGATATAGTTTCACAGTTTGCTTCAAATATTCATTAAAAACTGAACTAAAATGATCTCTCATTTCTTTAGTTTGTGAACAACGACAGTAACTCAGAGTGAGATTCAGATTCTGTTACAATAATAATAGTTCAGCTAAATAAAATCGACCACAAATTACACATTTAAACAGCTCCCAAATATAAAAAATGTCCCCTGGGATCTATATATATAAATCAACAGGTGATTTCCTTCTTTTAGTAAAATCCTAAATGATTGAGTTGTTTCTTTTTCCACCTGGACCT